CCACAGGAATGAGCCTTGAAAACATTATGCTGAGTGGTAGAAGTCAGACCCAAAGGCCACCTATTGTGTGATCCCATTCATACAAAATGTCTAGAAGAGGCAACTCCACGGAGACAGAAAGTAGGGTGGTTGTCAGAGAATGGGGAAGGACTGCTAATGTTTGGGGGTTTCTTTTGGGGGTGATGAGAAAGTTCTGGGACTAGACAGTGGTGACGGTTGCACAACATTGGGAGTATACTAAATGTCACTGAATTGTACAGTGTAAAATGGTTAAAATGGTGATTTTTTATGTTGTGTGAATATTACCTTAATTTCAAAAAAGAGAGCAATTTCCTGAAAGTAATATGCATTAACAGATAACTTCTGCCTACAAGTCATTGGCCAGAACTTCTTCACGTAACCATCCGGCTGCAGGAGCCTGGGAAAGTGATGTGTGTTAATATGGGGATGTCATGACCAGGAAAGAAGAGCGTGAACACGCGGATGGACATTTACTTAGCAGCCAGCCACGTTGGCATCGTTGGTGGCACTGACAGTGTCAGAAAAAAACATCTGAGAAATTGCCCCAGGTGTAACACTGGAGTTAAGCAGTGACTCAGGGAGGTGGCAGGGAGTTGTGAGATGAGCACTGGAGTGAGAGTCCAGAGGCGTCCCACTGTGGGTGTATCACCTCTCCGGGGCTCCGTCTGCTCATATCTGGAGTGAGGGTTAGGAGCATGTGATTTGTCTCTAAGGTTTCTTCTCGCTCTGATGTTTTTGAAGTGCATAAATGGATGAGTCAATTGTAGGAATAGTGCCAGTGGCCCTTCCCCTCCTCCCTTCACGAGGGCTGGTGAGAAAATGGCCCCGAGGCTCATAAATATACATGAAGCTGTAAACGGAACCGGAACCGACGGGTGCCTTCTTCCCTCCCTGCACACCCTGACAGAGTGGGCTGTGACCGGGGCCATGTCAAGGGCAGGGGGTTGAGGGAGCAAAGTGCACCAGCTAATCCACAGGTGGGTTCACCAGATCCTTGATTTGGGGACTGGCAGAGCCAATCCTAGACTTTAGGGGTACGGCAGTGACTGAGGGAGGCAGCAGGTGGAAGGAGAAAGGTTTTGAAACCACATCAGAAGCTTTATGGGCATGCACTCACCCTGCATTTGGGGGTGCAAAGGCAGGCCACCCCCTTTTATCCACCTCCCCTGAGATCTCCCTTTTAGGAGGCACCTCCTGTGCCCTCCAGGGGCTTACTGTCTGCTCTCTGCCAGGGGGCAGGGTTGCATCAGGAGGGCCTCTCACGCTCTAGGATACCTTCTGGACTCACGTTCCTGCATGGAACCTCCTTCCAGGGGGAGTCCTGGGGACCACGGTGACAGGGTAGCATCAGCAAGGCCTGGTGAAAAGGACTCACTATTTTTTCTTCCAGTCTGCTCTCAATACTAGAGCCACAAATATGTGGGATTTGTCCCACTCCAAGCAATTCTGCAATTCTCGGTGGACACTCACTGGGTGTCCTACAAGTTTCAACTCAATTCTGACACTAACTGTTCAAAGTTAGCACACACACCCCAGTCCCGCAAAACGGCCCCCAACTTCAGACAGCAATCACACATCCAGATTGTTACCTGTGCTTCTGACCAACCCGATATAAATCGGGGGTTCCCACCACCCCCTCCTCAGGTTTGAAGTTTTGCTACAGCAGCTCACAGAACTCAGGAAAACAGATTACTCATTGATTATAAAAGGATACAACTCAGGAGCAGCCGGATGGAAGAGAAGCATGTGACAAGACATGGGGGAGGGGCGCAGAGCCCCCATGCCCTCCCCTTGTGCGCCACCCTCCCAGCTCTTCAAACCCATCCTTTTGGGTTTTTATGGAGGCTTCAGGACACAGGCGAGAATGACTGATCAGCAGTCATTGGTAGTTAAGTTAGTCTCCAGTCCAGAGTGGGGAGGGGCAAGGGTCTGAAAGTTCCAAACCCCTAATCCTGTGGTTGGTTCCCCTGGCAACCACATCCAGAGGTGATCCAGGAGCCCCCAGTACCAGTCATCTCATTAGCATACAAACAGACACTCATCATTTTGAAGATTCCAAGGGCTTTAGGAGCTGCAGGTGAGGGAAAGGCAGAGACAAAATATATACGGCTTATTATGTCACACCTGGCTTCAGAATCCCGGCTCTGCCAATGACTGGGTATATGAACTCAGACAAGGTACTTCGTCTCTCTGAGCCTCAGTTTCCTGTTGAATGAATGCATTGATGACATACATAAGGTGTTCTGTATACTGTCCATAGCGGTTGACATAAGGCAGGCTGATGACAAATGTGAGTCCCCCTCTTCCTCCCCCCAGCTCAGAGCAGCCTTGCATATCCCGCAACCACCTTAATGGGGAGCAGGGCTCCTTGACACTGCTGGGCTCACGCTTGGGGCCAGGAGAGGCAGCGATGGTGAGTGTGGGCTCTGGAGCCTGCAGTCCTCCACTCGGGAGTGTGGTGACCGTGACCAAGCGCCAGCATCATGGGGTTAACAGACTAGAGCATGCAAACCCTTTGCGTGCCGACTGGCACACAGATGCCAGTGGACTTTAGCTACTGATGTGATCATCACCACCATCCGACAGGGGGCATGGAAAGTGCTCCTCTTCTCCTTTCTGCAGGTGTCCCTGGTGGGAAGGGCAGTGTCTCTACAGCCTAGGCACCCTGGAGCTCGGTCTTGTCTTTGTCATTCTCCCTAGGGACAAGCTATTGGTCTCTGGGGTGGACGGGAGACACCTGTACTATTGGCACAGCCACAGCACTCAGTGGTGGAGCACAGAGGTGTATGGGCCTGTTGCGGGGAGGCAGGTGCCAGCTAGAGATGCCGAATCCCACGTCTCTCCTTACCCCTGTGCTGGGCAGAGGGCCATCTGGGGGCACTCTTTCTGCTCATAAAGAGCTCATGGTCTAGAATAGTGAGCCTCACCTGGAGGACACGTATCGTTCAGGGGATGTGTGTGGGGTGGGGTGGAGAATCTCTGGGGAGGCTCATGTGTTCCATGGAGCCCTGATTATTTTTCCTGCAAAGAGAGAATAAAACTCTACTGAATCACAACTGGCTGGGATGCCCAGAAGGTAGTGGACAAGGCTGGCAGGAGGCAGGAGTCAAAAAGCTGGGGCCATAGAGTGAGCTGGCATCTAGCAACCGAGCCGTACACAGCCATCAGGGCTCAATACTGCCCAAGTGTCTGAGATTCGGGCTGTCTCCACTGGGTGTTTATGCACAGGAACACTCTCTGTCCCTCTCTCCCTCTGTCCATCCCTCCCCTTCTCTTCCTTCCAGTCAATAGATTCTTGCTGATTGCATGAATGTTTTCGTTTTCCTGAATTTGTACAAAAACATGTTAATTTTACTCTTTCAGTAAATATTTGGCAAATGAATGAATGAGTGGATGTATGAATGAGTAGATTTTTGGTATCCTGAGCTGGTGGCAAGCTCACCTCCTGATCCCCTCTCTCCAGTCACAGGTTTGGCTCACCACGCAGAGAGCCTGTGTTTTACCCAAGACAGCACCTCTGGTGACCCTCTGCCCAGTCTCCAGCACTGCTTGGGTGGAAGTCCCCTCCCCAGTCCTGCCCTGGGCCCCACTCACTCCTGTGTTACCTTTCTGTGTTCTTGTGCCAAATAACATACCTCACTCTCCTGTGGCCCCGGCCCCTCTCTTCCCACTGTCTAAACTGCAGACAAAATTCTCTCCTTTCAAGGCCCAGCATTGTCAATGAAGGTTTTTCTGATCTCTAAAACTGAAAGAGTTTCAGAGTCCCCTTTCCTGATGGACTAGATTTTGAGCTGTAGTCATGAAGGTCATCTCCTGACATTGGTCTTTCTTTCTTTGTTCATTTATTCCTTCCTTCCTTCATTTTTCTAATTATCCTAATACACTCGTGCAGCGTGCCACGCATCAGAATAGAAAGATCAAGAAGGCAAGTTCTGATGAAGAGAGACAGACATGGATAAAAAAGAGTCGTGTCTGGCACTGGGATGTTCCGTCACACTCTCGTCATAGTTGAGACCGTTTGGTCTGCAGAGGAACGGGCAATACAAACTCCCAAACAAAACTCGGAGGAAGAAGATTTCCCGAAAGGTTTATATGGGCATTCCTCATACATGGTGGCATCTCTCATAAACCCTTCCCAGTTTAACTTCCGTCACCTCCACCATCATGGGAGAAGCAGTTGCGGAGGGTGGATTTTTGAGACAGTTGTCTTTAAGGTCTGATCCAGTGATTTCATGGCCTTCAACCAGCTCCTACATACAGCTCTTGTCAGTGAGGATTTGCAAGTCCCCTCTGGGCCAGGGATTTCGTAATCTCTGGGCCTAGAAATGCTGCTCAGAGTCACAGCTATCCTGCCCAGCACCAGCGGCCCAGGCCAATGCCAAGGTGCTGCAAACACGGAGGAGGTAAAGGACACAAAGTAAGCGTTTGCTGGATGCTGGAAAGCTGAAAGGCTCTTGGTGCCTGGGGAGCCCCAAGGGGACAAGAAAACAAGCCAAACTAGGCTACTGGGGCTAGAAGTGTCCTCCTCCCCCTGACTTCTGTTGGAGCCACCATCCACAAGGCAATGAGAGACGCTACCCGTGGACAACATAGGTGCCATGGTGATACCCTTCTCCTGGCTGGCTGGGTGAAGCTTCGCTGAGCATTTGGCCTGTTCCTTAAAGGCTGAGTGTCATTCACCAGGTGGAGGGGGAAGGACACTCTTGGCAGTGGGGACAGCATGGGGAAGGGTTCAGCTGTCTGTGACTCACATCACGTGAGCTGGCGCATCTGAGTCTGAAAGACTGAATGGGGACAGGTTGTGACATCCTCGCTTTGCCGGGATCAGGGTCTTTGGATTTTAATGCGACTCTTCCTAGAAGTTTGTCTCTGCCCTGACCGGCCTCACCCCAAAGCTGCCCCCTCTGGTAACTCACACCCTTTCCCCACCCACCATTCCTTGCCTCCCAGGACTTCAGGTTCTCCTTTCTGTCTCACAGGTTTAGAACTCCAGAATATCAACTGGCAGGTAAGGTCCAACCGGCAGGCACATCACACAGACCAGTTCTCCAGCCAGGAGCTCATCGTGCGGAGAGGCCAGCCCTTCGAGATCGTACTGACCATGAGCAGAAGTCTCAGCTCTAGAGACAGGCTGGAGTTCACGGTCTCCACAGGTACCTGCTCAACGCCCCCAACCCCCAGCACACACGTAGGCCTGAGCAGGCCTCGGGGCTGTGCATTCAGGGGGTGATGGTGACCCATCTTGGGATCACGGGTCTGTCATTGACTCGGTGTGACCTTGGGCAAGCTGCTGCCCGTCTCTGAGCCCGAGACTTAGTCTTCATGGTCACTCCTAATTACTTCCAGTGCTACAATGTGATGGTTCATTGGATGATGTCCCCAGGTGGGGGGAGGGTTGCTGGAACCTGATCTCTCCCCACAGTGTGACCTTCACCCTGTCTTCCTTGCCAGGGCCGCAACCCTCAGAGTCGGCCATGACGAAGGCCGTGTTTCCACTGTCCAATGGGAGCAGTGGCGGCTGGAGCGCAGTGCTCAAGGACAGCAACAGCAGTAACCTGGCCATCACCATCTCCAGTCCTGCCAGCGCACCCATCGGACACTACACACTGAGCGTCCAGATCGCCTCCCAGGCCGGCATCGCCTCTGTGAAACTGGGGGAGTTCGTTCTGCTCTTTAATCCCTGGGTGAACGGTAGGTGTCTGACCACCCACACTCCCAACCCGGACCCAAGCAACGACCCAGGAAAGGAGGTGGGGGGATGATCTTCCCAGGCCCGGCTTTGATTAGGGAAAGTGTGTGGATTGCGGAAAGAGCACAGAAGCTAGAAATCAGAAGCTCTGCCACTTAACCAACTGTCTGAGCCTGGGCAGCCACTCTGTCCCTCTGAGCCTCAAATTCCTCTCCATTAAATGGACATCCTGCTGTTTCCTCTGCAACCATTGTGGAGATCACGTGGCGCTTTTACAAACTGCACAGACGGTTAATGATAAGGGACAATGCCTACAGTACAATTCTGCGGCATGGACACAGCTCCCCCCAGGAGGAACAGGTGTCTCACTCAGCCCTGGGGTCTCATTTTCTGACCCTTGGGTCATCCCAGCTTCTCTTTCTAGCTCACAGTCCCCACAGTTAGAGCTGGAAGCATTCCAGCCCACGGTGCGGGAAGGGCTCAAGGTGGCACTTGCTCCAACCCCAGCCCAGTCCCGGTATCCTCTGTAGGATTCTAGTCTCTGGTGTCTGCTTTTTGTGTCAAACAGTGGATAGTGTCTTTATAAGTAACCATGCTGAGAGACAAGAGTATGTCCAGGAAGACGCCGGCATCATCTATGTGGGAAGCACAAATCGAATTAACATGATTGGCTGGAACTTCGGACAGGTAAAAGGGTCACGAGGAGGCTGAGAGTAATGTCCCTATTGCCCCAAAAGCTCTAAAAGTTTCCACTTCTGTTTACCTGCCCTTCATTCATTCATTCATTCAGAAGACATTTATTGAACACCTACTATGTGCCAGGCCCTGGGCAGTAAGACACACACGCACACAACTCAATGCTATGAAGTATTAAGTATTATGGTGCCATGATACATCAATAAGCATAAGGCCCATTAGAGACATCGGAGATAGTCATGTAGCTTCTGTTTCTCGTCCCGTGTGAAAATGTGATGATGCTTCCTTGGTGTGAACACTCGGCCTTTCAAATCCATAACCTCTTGGTCATTTATTACTGCGATTCTCATCTGGGTCCACAGAGATGTCCAGTTTGCTCAGCTCAGCACAATGATCTCCACCTTTTCTTCTACCCAGCAGACAAAGACGTTAGAATGGAGTTCCTCGGGCATGCCGGGCCCATTACAGACCCCTGGTTCTGTAGTCAACTGAGCAAATCTGCTATCACTTTTATATGTTGGGTTTCTATGTCAAATTTTATTGGAAGGAATTTTTTTTAAAAAAAGGGTAAGGGCATAGAGGGCTCCAAGGAGTGGAAGAGAGGCTATCTTTGATGGCTTAGTCTGGGAAGGACAATCTTAGGAAGAAGCCTTTGATCAGGGATGGCAGGAGGCCAGAGACCCAGGCAGAGGTCTCGGGAAAGAGCTTTCCAGGCAGAAGGAAAAGCAAGTGCAAAGCCCCAACGCAAGAGGAGCTTGGCCTTCTCAGTTTGAGAAGCAATGACTTAAATCTTATTTGTGAAAATAGCTTCGAATAGATATTTTTAGCAAGAGAGGTCATCTTTATAACTAGTTCCCCAGGAGTCTAAATAATATGCCCAAGATCATAGTCAGAGCTTGAAGGAAACTTTGACATGAGCTTGGCCTGATGCCCCATTATACAGATGGAGAAATCAAGGCCAGACAAGCTAAGCCACTTGACCTCGAGTCTGGGGCAGCGAGGGGGTCAGCTAGACCAGGCTCCCTCAGGCTCACTTCGGGAGAGTCGTACAGGCTCTGACAGGTAGCAAGAACTCCAGATGGGTTTGCGAGGTTAAAGGCTGGGTGTGGTAGGTGTCCTAAATACTCTCAGCTCTGGAGGCCATGGAGTGAAAGGACCTAATAGTTCCTGTGGTTCTCACCAGAGTGGCGGTTCCCATGCCCTTTATCAGCCCACACTACTTGTCATTTCTTTGATTGTAACATATGGTCCCATTTTGAACAGTATGAAGAAGACATTCTGAGCATTTGCCTCTCAATCTTGGATAAAAGTCTGAATTTCCGCCGTGACCCTGCTACTGATGTGGCCCGCAGAAATGACCCCAGATATGTTGGCCGGGTGCTGAGTGCCATGGTGAGTAACAGGAAAGCAATGATAACTAGTTTGTTACCATAGACTGAACCAACTACGGGTTCAGCAGGCACACTCTTGACATATGTCGTCTCACTGAAGCCTCATTAAATGCAGTTGGTGGCTAGAACCATCTGCATGTTGCCGGCTAGAGCCTCCTCTAAGTGAAAGGGCTCGGCTGATACACACGGGGAGTGTGTGGCAGAGGCAGCACTGGACCAGGTCTGGCTGGCTCCAAAGCCCTTTCTCAGAGAAGGGACCTTGGCTTTTGGGTGCACACCAGGGATGGGAGGATGCAAAGCTAGGCCTCTGCTCCATCGCGGGGCCTCCTGGGAAAGGAAGCAAGGTGCCTAATGAGCCGGAAGTGGTACCCTCCTTTGCTTTAATCCTTCTCCTCCACAGCCCAGAGTGTGCGAATGTCAGATTGGAGGGCAGCTGGCTGCCCCGCCGGTGATGTAGGTGGGGAAACAGGGTCCAGGATCAGCTTGCTCAAGGTACACAGCCTGTGGGTCCTGCCCGAGCAAGGCCTCGGGCTGCCTGCCCTGGGCCTCTTTCCACCCTCACCGTCCCTCCACGTGAAAGACTTGTCCCCTTACAGTACACACACACACACACACACACACACACACACACACACAGGCAAGCTAGATCCCTGAGGAGGAATATCTGCACTCTACAAAGAGAATGCCTCCATCCAAAAGCATGCAAACATGAGATCCACCTGCTTGAAAGTTACAAGTTAAAAAGCTAACAGTCAAAGCGAGTTCTTCTACTTTAACCCTCTTAAACTAATGACCTAGAAATGTCTTAACCTTTGGGGGTTTTGTTGTTGTTGTTGTTCATGGTCTAGACATTTCTTGGTCTCTTTGCTTTTGAGTTGGATAGTGCCCATGATAATGAGTTAGTTAGTTGGTTAGACATTTGAACAACTTTTCAGCTGTAGGATAAATGTCTGGGGTTAATTAGGGAGAGCTTTTTCAAAGAGCTGAGTCTTAAACTGAGCCTCAGAAGAGAGGAGCTGGGCAGGTCCAGAGAACTTGGGGCCCTGAGGAGATGGGCGAGGACCAAAGCAGCCCAAGAAGGGGGCTGCTTTGGTCCCGAATCTCATGGGCTTGGAGCTGAACTTCGAAACCAAATGGCCTGGAAGAGGTGGAATTAAAGCCAAGGCAGAAGTCAAGTGAAGCCAGAGGTCAGGGCCACTTAGCAAGGTGAGCCTCCTTGGCCCAGGAGAGAGAGTGGGTGAGGCCAGCCGGCTCCTGCAGCTGCTGACTCACTCCCACCCCGGGGCCCAATCACTTTATCTTGGAGCCAATTTCCTCAGCTGCACCTCCCCAGTGCTCCCTCCAGACCTCCCAGTTGGGCTGGGCCACAAGCTAATTATGGCCTCTGCAGGGCTTTGAACTGCTCAGCTTTCAGCCAGAGATGACCTGCTGATTACCACTGTGGTGGCTGGAGCATGGTGACTCAGGAGACAGGAGAGGCCGCACAACCTCCCAGCTTGGAGGAGGCCCTGTCTTGCCGGATCCTGTGGTGACAACAGAGGCCCTCCCGGAAGAAGTGCAGAACTCCGGACTCGTCCTGTCCTGGGCAAGGATCTTTCTGTTTCCAGACTGTCCATTCCCATAGGCCTTGCCATTTATGCACGCTCCAAAGAGAGGGAGTGGGACTCACAGGCTCACAGGCTGGGGGCGCCCAGGGAGATCCCGGTTCAGCCTCTCATTGCACAGCTGGGAGAGACGACACATTTTCACAAGCTCTGAAACTTGGCTGCTGGAAGACACCTCAGAGCGCCTGTGTTCTAACTTTCCCTGTGTTAGAAGGTGAAGAACTAAGGCCCAGAGAGGTGGCTTGACTTGCACGATCACCAAGCTGTCAAGTGACGAGGTGGGGCTTGTAGCCTCAGTTTCTCCTTCTCTCTTTCTCTTTTAACTTTTTATCATGGAAAAGTTCATATCTACACAAAAGTAGGGAGAAAAGTATGATGATCTCCTATGTGCCCATTACCAGCTTCAGCAATGACTCTGACCCCATCCTGCCCTGATTATTTGATAGATCCAAGACATCACATCATTTAGTATCATTTCACCTGGAAATGTCTCAGTGCATGTCTCTAAAAGGCAAGGGAACTTGTGTCTCTTGATTCCTCGTCCAGCACTCTTTTCAGGCTACACCACGGTTGTGTTACTTATACGAGGACCGGGCCTTACGCTGAATGAATGAATGAATGAACAGACAAATGACTGAAGGAATGAAAGAAAAACAATATTCCATCTTTATTGTTTCCAAGAAGATAGTTGCTTAAGTTCTAAAGTGATCTTTTTAGAAGACCAGTAGACCAAAAAAGAGTTTCAAACCATGGACTCCAAGCAGACAGAGGGGTCTGTGAGTTCTTTCTTGCGAGCAGCGGTCTGCAAGCTGGGTCTCTGAGCCTGCCTGAGTCTCGGGGCCAGCCAGATGACAAGCTGTGTCATCTGTTTCCCATGGCAACCAGCCGCATAGGATTAACGTATGGATTGAGGGCAATCCAACATGGCCTGTTTGGCAAGGCACCTGTAAATTCATAAACCACTCAATGCCCCTAAGGGATAATTATGCCAATTATCATCCCCAAGTCACCTAGAAAGACAAAGAAAAGTTCACTCCATGGTCCCTGGCTTCCTTCCTCATCTCCCCACCTTGCCCTCTGAATTCTGCATGTCACTTTCTGTAGGAGCATGGTGCTAATTCATGTGTGTGTGGGGTGTGTGTGTGTGTGTGTGTGTGTGTGTTTGTGTATGTGGGCTTTCTGCCTAGGTCAATAGCAATGATGACAATGGTGTGCTTGCTGGAAATTGGAGCGGCGATTACACGGGTGGCCGGGACCCGAGGAACTGGAACGGCAGCGTGGAGATCCTCAAGGAGTGGAAAAAATCTGGCTTTAGGCCTGTCCGATATGGCCAGTGCTGGGTCTTTGCTGGGACCCTCAACACAGGTACCTGGGGTGTGGATGCGCCTTCGCTGGGTCGGTGGGCAGCACTGGGGTACACCACGGTAGCGTCTCCACCACAACTGGAGTCCCCATGCCCGCCTTGGCTTGCAGTGCTGCGGTCTTTGGGGATTCCTTCCCGCGTGATCACCAACTTCAGCTCAGCTCATGACACGGACCGAAACCTCAGCGTGGATGTATACTACGACCCCATGGGAAACCCCCTGGACAAAGGCAGTGATAGCGTATGGTAAGTACCTGACCTTGTCCCCGAACCCCGAGCACCACGTCTGAGCAGCTTCTTGCTCTCACCATTGCCCTGGGACCCAGCTCCAACCAGGAGTTGCAAGGCAAGTAACATGTCAGTACATGGTTTAGAATGGAAATGCTGACGATGCTAATTACACACCTAGCAGGACCCAAGACACCTCTTTTCGGTGCCCTGCAAAGTCTGACGGTCTGTTCTATCTTGCTGCCACTTGATGAAGGGTCTGAGACCACTGAAAGACACAGGTCCTGAGCTCTGTGAAACCACCCTGAATTTATAGAATCCCTTGGACTCTGTACTGCTTTACAAGATAAAACTTGAAATTATTGATTTTCCAGTAAGAAATATAAATTTATTTCATTTCAGGCAAACCATATGACTTATGGACTTTCTTAAAGAGAGAAAGAAAAGCAACACATTTTTTTCTTAAAATATAGATAATTATTAAGGTATCTTAGCTGACAAATGAAAAGTTAGAAGTTTATTTAGATTCCAGATGAAAATAAGAAGTTTTATATGTATTTGGGCATTTATATTTCTAACCATAAATATGCCATGTGTGCATATTATTATGTATGTATACATATATGTGATTTAATAATAGATGCCAACTGGAAATAGGTTCTATAAAACTTATAGACATATAACTACATAAAACAGTATATTTACACATGAAAATAGATATTGATATAACTATTTAAGGTTATACCACATGCCAAGTTATTACCAGATAACAATTGAAAATAATGTCTATATCTGTACATACGCATAGATACCTATGGGTCTCTACATATTAAGTACCATGCACATTTGTCATTAATCTATTGCTTTAATCCATTTCAAAGGCTACACACAAACACACACACACACACACACACACACACACACATAATTGCTCACATGTGTATATATGCCTAGATAACCTTGTAGCAGATGCCATCTTGTTTTCAGACGTTCAAATTGGAGATAATCTATTTAAAATATATTTATTACTTATTATTCCCAAAATAAGTAGACCCGCCTTTTCTGAAATGTGCTTAATGTAACTAATGGAATAGAGTGAAAGGAAAATAGAAACTAATGGGAAAAGCTGCTAAAATAAATAAATAACTCCATGCCGGCCGGGCGCGGTGGCTCACACCTGTAATCCTAGCACTCTGGGAGGCCGAGGCGGGCGGATTGTTTGAGCTCAGGAGTTCGAGACCAGCCTGAGAAACAGCGAGACCCCGTCTCTACTAAAAATAGAAAGAAATTAATCAGACAACTAAAAATATATAGAAAAAATTAGCCAGGCATGGTGGCGCATGCCTGTAGTCCCAGCTACTCGGGAGGCTGAGGCAGGAGGATCGCTTGAGCCCAGGAGTTTGAGGTTGCTGTGAGCTAGGCTGACGCCACGGCACTCACTCTAGCCCGGGCAACACAGTGAGACTCTGTCTCAAAAAAAAAAAAAAATATATACAACTCCATGCCAACAACTAAACTAAATAATGAAAGCATCCCCTCTGAGCTGATTGCAGTGGCTCATGCTTATAGTCCCAGCTACTTGGGATGACGAAGTAGGAGGATACCTTGAAGCCAGAAGTTTGAGACCAGCCTGAGCAACATAACAAGACCTCATGTCTGAAAGAAAAAAAAAGCATATCCTCTCTTTACAGGAGAGCGAGGCTTATGTAATTCACCATGGGTCACATGGATTCCTGGGTTTTCTTGGGGGAGAGAAAGCTTATTTTAGAATTTCCTTTCTTGATCTGCACACAACTTTCTCTCTAATGACATTGCTACTTGTGGCAAGGTTTTGTTTTTTAGTTTCTCATAAATGAATGTCTTTTCTTTTCCCTGGCTTTTTCTTCTGTCACTGTGGCTGAAATCCTACCGCAGTCAGTTCCGATTGTCGGGGTAATGCCATTCCTAGCCTTAGTTTCCTCTGCAAAAGGAGATGATTGGTCTAACAGGATAACTGATCTTTGGCGGGTCCCCTTAGGTATAACCCTCCTGTGATTATCCTGCACCCTAGGAACTGCAGGGAGATGGGAAAGCTTAAGACTCAGTCCCTCTACTAAAAGGATTTATTGCGCTGTTAAGGGACAGAGTGCAGGGAAGCCACGAGCAGAGGTGAATTAGGGACAGCACGGTGTGTGACGTGCGTGGGAGAGATTCTGGGGATTCAGGGAGGGAACCCTTAAAGAAGACTTTCTAGAAGCAGGAAAATCGGGCTTTTCAGCTGAATTTGGAATTGGAACCCGGGTCTCTTGGTTACTGATTCACACTGCTACTCCACATCAGCTTATCAATTCATTCTGAATACAGTCACCTTTAGGGCAAGTATGGGCTGATGGGGACATTCCAGGGTGGCTCCACCGTCATTTCTGTGACTTCATTGGGGGGAGGTCCCAGGTCCAGAAGCTCTGAGTGTTCCTGAGGGTCTAATCCTCTTCCCTCTCCCTCCCCTCTTTTGAACCTTCTCAGAAACAGAGGGAGTCAGTGGTCACTCCCTACCCCATTCCCCATCGGCCATGGGTGAGGAACCAGTTCCAGATAGTATGAAGACAGGGAGTCCCAAGCACTGCTTTCGACCCCACTACCATCTTGCTACGAGACTTGTGCAGGACATCTCATCCTTCTGGTCCCAAGTTTCTTCATCAGTGAAATATAAGGATTGGCCTAGGACTAGAAGATCATTGCAGTCTCTTCCCAGCTTGAATTTTTTTCTTCTCTGCAGCTTCAGCCCATCTCACTTTTTGTAGGAGAGTTAGCCATTCCCAAGGGAGCCATACTGCCCTTTGTCCATGGAATCCCGTGCCGGGGAAAGCTAAATCACTCCTCTGCCTAGAGTGAAATTGCCAAGCTATTATTATAAGGACAGCTTGGGTTTAGACAGAAAACCTTTGGTCTGAATCTTTGTGTGTTATAAATGTTGGAAGCTTTAGAACCTTGTACAGATTTGCCTAAAGTAACAAAATGTGAGGATCAAGTGAGGCAAAGCATCAGAAGGCTGAGTAGTAATAACAATAGCAGCTAATAATGTGTTGAGTAATCGTCGTGTGCCAGGCACTTTTCTAGGTGCTTATGTTTATCCTTCACAAATGATGAGGTAGGCATTGTGCCCATTTTGCAGGTGAGGAGACTGAGGCACGGAGAGATCAAGTAATTAGCCCAAGGGTACATCCCTGGAAGGTGGTGGAGATGAGATTTGAACTCAGGCAGCTTTGTAAACCATACAGCATTGGAGAGATGCCAGAGAATGTTGTTATTATTATTCCTGACTGATGTTTGAAAAATCTGACAGCTCTTACCTTGAGATTTTTCCAGAGGAGGTTGGCTAGACACTCGCGGGGGCTCTGGTTAGGTTGGGTGCTGTCCCACCCACGCAGGCAGAGAAGCTGGGTCCTTTGCTTCATGCTTCGGCAGCAAATGTTACTTCTTTGCAAGATTAAACGTTGTCTCAGGGGCTCAGTGAAGAGAAATGACTTGCCCAAAGTCACATCGTGAATTGGTGTCCAAGCTAGGGGTGGAGCACAGGCGTCCTTGAACAGGACTCTACCAAGTGAAGAACATTAGGACTGCAAGGCACTTTAAAGAGGGACCTGCTCATTTTGTACATGAGACAACAGAGGCCCACAGAGAAGTAACGTGTCTAAAACAGCTGGAGACAGGTAGGCACTCTGCGTAGGTGTATTACATTACAGAAGTTTCTTAACTTTCTGCACCTCCATTTCCCACCAGACCAGCGGACCTCAACAATTTCTTCGAGGTCTTTCTTTTACTCACATTCACAGCATCCAGCTGGGTAATTTTTTTCTAAGCCATTCTGCACGTGCCAACGGTTTGGCTCAAGAGGCGCAAGCTCTGGAGCGTTCACTTGCTTCAGAGTCAGGACACTTCTGTGGGAGCTTGGTTCGGGATGCTTCTTGGATATGGGTCCCTTCTGGGCCACGCTGAAGGAGTCTCTGGAGCCTGCTCAGCCCCTGAGCAGCAAGCAGCCAAATGATTTGGAACTATTTCACCAAGGATAGCTTGACATTTCTGGCTTGTTTTCCTAATTTATTTGACTTGATCCGCCAATCTCTAGAGTCACAGAGCTGACTTTTCTTGTAGACTTGGCAGAGCTGGGGGGTACAAGGCATGGGGGGATTGCCCTCGGCCTGTCGGGGAGGTGCAGCTGGGCAGCGCTTCCCAAGAAGAGCTGTGGGCACCCACACCTGGCTGAGCCCCCAGCTCCTTATGCAATCTTTCCACGGCCTCTGCCTCTGAATACCTGCCTCCACCAGCACTCAGCCAGCTCCCAGTGTACCTAGAGCACCTCACCCAGATCTGCAGCGAGGAAACCAAGGAGTGGTCTCAGCTCAAGAACAATGTGATTCAGTGCACGCCTGCACTGGATACGGGGCACCAAGCGGAGTAAGATGCAGGCACCACACTAGAGGAGTTTATAGCCACATATAAAGATCGACGATTATGGAGCAGAAGCAGTGAAATCATTGAATACGTGCAAGATGCAGAGATAGCATAGAGATATGGTTGCCACTCTCTCAGCATATCAGGAAAGATTTTTTGGCGGAGGTAGTATCAGTATCTGAGCAGCATTTGGGAGGACAAATAGGAGTTTACCTACAGAAGGGGTAGGGGTTTGGGGCCACTTTCTAGGCAGGGTCTGCTAACTCTGTGAATTCAAAAGCAAGCATAGCTCAGTTGCTGGCTCTAGAGCAGTGGTTTATAAACTTCAAAGATTACATCAGGTTAGTCTGGGTGGGGGAAATTAGAGGGGCAGGAACCTGCATATTTTAATAAATGCCTTGGGTAGATCTGATGCCTGCCACCTGTCCTCATCCTGAGCTCCTGCCTCTGAGACCCTCAGGACAGGGACAAAGCCCAAGTCTGGGGGGTTAGAGGGAGTGTGACACACAACCAAAATCTCAAAGCAGAATTTCCACGATGGCGCCCACTGGCATTGGAACGGTGCCCATCGCAAACACATGTAACTGCAGTGGCTGGCTTCTGGCTTCTGCATGAGGGAGGAGCCAGGATGTATTTATGCATCTGTTATCTGCTCCGTCTTTAATGCCTGCCTTTCAAATAAGTAATAAAACACAACAACTTACCACTTTTTTCCTTTTTAACCAACCCACCTTTCCCCTAGGGTTGTCTGCCAGGAACAAAATGAATGTGAGACTCATGTTCTCACCGCTCTTTCATCCCTTCCTTGCCCCTTTCGCCCACCTGGAATCATCTTCCCATCCTTCTGCCCCTGCCTTCTCCTTGGTGAATTCTAACCAACCCTAAACCCCATTCAAAAAGACATTTTGTGGGTCCAGGAGATCATTTTTCTGATGATTTCTTTTCCTAAACAATTATAGGAAATGTCAAAATACATAAAGAAGTAAAAATCATCTATGACCTTATTGTTTACGTTTCTAACGTTTGATAGTGTTCTATTATATCTTTTCTCTATTCGTTGTTATTTATGGAACTGGGATTATACATTTTACAAGGCATGAGTACAAGACAGAACATATAATAGATACGTCCTACTTTTTCCCACACCTTGACCACAGTTTCGATCATGTGTTTTTGACTAAACATTATGAGCATTTCCCCCAGGTCATTAAATAGTCTTCAAAAATAAGATCATTTAAAATGCATCATATTCCATTACATAGTTGAACTATTATCCCCTACTGTTACCTGTGATATCTATCTCCCTTTTTTTTTAACTGTTTTTGCCTGGATTCAAAGCCCACTCTGCCTGTTTACTTGCTGTGAGAACTTAGACAAGTCACTTAACTTCCCTGTGCCTCAGTTTCCAGAGTTGTTGAATAGGAATAATAATTATTTCAATTTTATAGGTGTTGTGAGGATTAAATGAGTTAATATATGTAAGGCAGTTAAAACACTTAACTTTCTATGTTAATGCTGTTTTAGCTATTATCATTTATATAATATACATATTTTTAAAATATTCATCTATTTTCTAATTATAGAAGCAGTGAGTAATTCTCATTATAGAAAATGAAAACATTACAGAAACAAATAATGTAAAACTTAGTTCATATGCACATAATACATCCATCAAATTGTTAATGGTGGCTATCTAAGACAATAGAATTATTGGAGACTAACTTTCCCCCATTTTTTTAATTCAAATGAATTTATCATATATATATGCAATATACATACTCTATTCTATAACTTGATTTTCTTATTTCATGACATATTTGAGACATCTCTCCATGTAAGTACTAGATTGAGTTTACTTGTTCTTTTTGACAGCTGTTTGATATTCCATTGCATGGCTGTGCCACAATTTATCTGACCACTCCCTTATTGAAGAACTTTTCCTCCAACATTTTTGCTGTTCCAAACAATGCTGCAATGGACATATTTATATATACACTTACGTGCACTCATGTGAGTTCTTCTATAGCAGAAATTCCTAGACGTGGACATACTGGCTCAGTGGGTATGTAGATTTTTAATGGTTTTTTTATACTCATTGCCAAATAGCTCTCTGCAAAGGTCATACCAATTTAAACTCCCACCGACCGGGTATGACAGTGCTTGTTATCCCACCTGGGAATGAGTATAGCAGTGAGTATCATCCCATGCTTTAATCTCTGCCAGTCTAATAGGTGTAACCTCTGCATCTCTGTAATGGTATCTCTTTGTCATTTTAATTTGCTTTTGATAGTAGTGAGGTTAAAACTATTTTCCTACATTCAGTGATTATTTGTATTTCTTATAAAAACTGCTTGTTCATTGCCCTTTACTGGTACACGTTTCTTTCGTATCTTTTTCTTCTTGATTTATAAGTACTTTACAATATTAATGTAGCAAATCTCTATCTAGAATATATGTTGCACATATTTTCTGTATTGATTTTTTCCACTCATTTTTGTCTCTCATCTTCAGATTGGATAATTTCTACTGATTTATTTCAAGTTTATTGACTCTTTTCTCTGTCATCTTTATTCTGCTGATAAGTTCATCCATAGAATTATTTAATTTCAGATATTGGTCCTTTTTCCAGTTAGAAATTACCAAATTTCCAGTTAGAAATTTGGTTCTTTTTTTATATTTTCTATCTCTCTGCAAAGAATTCCTCTCTTTTCATTCATTATGGGCATATTTCCCTTTATTTCATCAAGCATAGTTATAGTAGCTGCTTTAAAGACTTTGTCCAACAATTTCAATACCTGGCTTATTTTAGAGTTGACTTGAGGATAAATCACATTATCCTGGTTCTTTGTATGTTGAGCTAGTTTGGATTGGACCCTGGATGCTGCTATTTTGTCTTTTGTTCTAGCGGTCCACCTCGGGTAGACTCCAGCTGCAAACGGTCTCACCTGCTGTGGGCAGCAGCTCCCATGTCGGTTCAGTTCTTTCATCTTTCGCTGAACTGCTGGTCATCTGCCTCGTGCATGTGAAGTTCAGGGGTCACCCAGAGGTTTGGGCAGTTTCCTTGACTCCCTCTTTCCAGAATCCCCCAACAGTCTCCAGCAATCCAGGTTGGCCTGAGCCTGTTTCCTGGTTCCTCATGTCAGGAAGCTGCAAAGTTGTTACTGCCCTGTGCTGTACCCCAACAGTGCCCTGTCCTTAGGACAAAGCCACCGGAAATACAGCTCACCCCACGCTGGTGGTTTCCTCCAAGTTTTGACTACCCTCTAAAATCTTCCTCCTTTGTTCACTCTTAAGGATTTGTCTTTTCTAGTTTTTGTTTTTTTTTTCAGAGTGTATCATTATATGCAAAAGTATTCATCTGTTATAAGCATATCCTCCATCCCAGAAACAGAACTACAAGGTTTTTGTTTGTTTCTTTATATGTAACTTTGCTATTTTTAGATAGTCAAATGTATTTTTAGATAGTCTTTTCTTTTATGGCTTCTGAAATGGGTGGTCTGCTTAGAACTATCTTTTCCACCTTATGAGTATTAAAAAATGTTTCTTTCATGTTGGCTGGAACTTGGATTTATGTTGGGCTTACATTTTCTCCAAGTTGAACTGGAAACTGTCAAGGCCAATGTTACTGTAGTTCCCATAGGAATGGAGAGGAAGGAAGAAGAGGGCAGAGTCAAGGGACCAAATGAATAAGACTGACCTTGGCGAGCTGGCTGGGCCGGGTGCAGGGTGAGCAGTGACTGAAGCGTACAGACTGAGACACAGGCAGACAGCATTTGAGGACTGGTCTACTTCCTTCTTCAGTGTAGACCCCAGCCGAAAGGTGGCGTGGCTCTCAGCCAGACTTGTCACTCTGGTTGCAGCCTCATTCATTTTCAGCCCACACCAAATACAGAAGTGTGCTCCAAGAGGGCGCAGAAAAAGCTGTGTGGTTTGCTGGCTGGGTAGCTGACTCCAACCTAGATGTGTTCTGCTCCTCAGAAGAGCAGTGGGGCGTGGAGGTCAAGGCTTTGGCTTTGGAGTTAGGCATGCACAGGTGCAAACTTTGACCTTGCCATTGTTAGATGCTTAACTTCCTTGAGCCTCAGTTTCCCCTTTTATGAAATGGGCATCAAAATAGTACCCGTGTCACAGAGCTGGGAGGATTTCCATGAGACAGTGCGCACCAAGGCTTAGCACAATAGCTGTCCCGGAGTAAACTCACTTGATGTCTATCAGGGCGAAGATGTGATGTTTTGCCAGTCACTGGCTGTGTGGCCATAGGCAAGCTCTGCAGTCTCTGGTTCTGTCTGCAGGAATTTCCACGTCTGGAATGAAGCCTGGTTTACGCGGCCTGACCTGGGCTCCTCGTTCAGTGGATGGCAGGTGTTAGACGCCACCCCCCAGGAGAGAAGCCAAGGTAACCCTCCGCCAGCCCTTCTCTGGGCATGGCTCTAAGTCATGAGCCTCTCAATTATTTACAGCAGCGGACAGCAGCACAGGGAAGTAACCCAAATCCCTCCCCATCTCTGGAACGCACAATGGGATTAAAACAAAAACATTTTAAAAATAGATTTCCCCTTCTAATTTTGTTTGGCTCGAGCTGGTATTTAAATGAGTGCCTTCCCTGTACCCACACTGGCTGCTGTTGCTGCCACGGAGACCCTGGCGTGGGCCAGGTGACAAGGGAAAGAAGCCTTCCTCTGCCAGTAATGATTTCCCTGCACTGCCTCTAGCATCCTGTCCCTCCTAGTGCAGAACCTTGCGGTTCCCATTGCCCTTGGGGTTGGTGCACATTCCCCACCAGCTCCCTCTACCACGCCCCTGTCCCAGGCCTGTGCTCCTGCTCTGGCCTCTCTCCCACTTCCCTTCCACAAGGAGTTGGATCCCGGGCTCTCCAGGAATTTTTCCTCTTCCCTTCTCTGCTCTCCAGCGCATGCCTTGTGTGGTTACCTTCATTTTGAGATGTTTCTTTCAAACATCAAAAAAAATATGATTTATGAAGTAATATGTGCACATAGTTGAAAAAAATTCAAACTGTTCTAAAAGGACTTCAATGAAAATTGTCTTGCTCCACCCCCAACCCGTAGCCCCTCCATCAGAATCGATGGGTGTTACCAGATTTGGGGGTTGAGGAGTCACCTTGCAGATATGTTCAAGGCCATGATTGTTCAAACTTTTCATTACAATCCATTGGTGGTAATAAAATCAAGTTAGTGGGTTGTGACCATCATTTTAAGAAATGAAAATGAAATGGGAGAAAAAAGGAAAATAAAATAGCATGGCTTATTAGATACAGCAAGACTAAGGACTATTGTCTTGTGAAACTTTTGTTTCAATATCAAATGTGTGCCAGGACATCAAATGTATTTCTTTCTAGGGGTCATGGTAAAAAAAAAATTGAAAGTCGCTGATAAATCAATCTATCTATCTTTATATCTATCTATACATATATATACATATATCTAATCTATCCTTCCATCTATCCATCTATTCATCTATCCATCTATCTCTTCATCCATCTATCCATCCATCCATCTGTCTATCCACCTATTCATCGATCATCTATCCATCCATCTATCCATCCATTCATCCATCCATCTATCCATCTATCCATCCATCTATTCATCTATCCATCTATCTCTTCATCCATCTATCCATCCATCCATCTGTCTATCCACCTATTCATCGATCATCTATCCATCCATCTATCCATCCATTCATCCATCCATCTATCCATCTATCCATCCATCCATCCATCTATCCACCTATTCATCAATCATCTATCCATCCATCTATCCATCTATCCATCTATTCATCTATTCATCTAACTTTCCATCCATCCATCCATCCATCTATCCACCCATCCATCTATCCATCTATCAATCTATCCATCTATTCATCTACCTGAGCTACCTATGCTGAGTGCTGAGAAGAGGGAGGTAATGGTCAGGCTTGGGAGCTCAGAGCAGCAGGAGACCCTTTGGGCTGGGAGTTCAGGGAAGTCTTCCAGGAACAAGAGGGCAACAACCTTCTAGGGCAGAATGATTTGCAGAGGTAAAAAAGAAGCAGCCGCCCTGAGCACAAGACAGCAAGATTTTAGGAAACAGACCAAGGACAGTGGGTCAGCACAGATTAGGTACCCACAGAATGTAGGATTGAGCCAGTATTATGGAGAGGGGGAGTTTGACCAGGGTGGCATTGCAGAAAGATAACAATAGCCCGGAAGGGTCTCTGCTGAATGCCAAATGAGCGAGGCAGCCAGTCAGGGCTGAAGGAGTTTGACAGGGCAGAGGCAGGGGGTGGGATGGGGTAGAGTGAGGGGACTGTGGAAGGCCCTCGGAGGAGCAGGCCCTGGGTGGGCTCTTGTGGGTGGGCCTGGCCTTGGCATATATCCAACCTCTGCATCCTGACCACCAGGGGTGTTCCAGTGTGGCCCTGCTTCAGTCCACGCTGTCCGAGAGGGTGACGTGAAACTGGAATTCGACACGCCCTTCGTCTTCGCGGAGGTTAATGCTGACCGCATCAACTGGATCCAAGATAGCTCCACTGGCACACCGAAGAAGAATTCTGTGGACACTCGCTCGGTCGGCAAGTACATCAGCACCAAGGCCGTGGGCAGCTACTCTCGCATGGATGTCACGGAGAAGTACAAGTACCCAGAAGGTAGGAGGGGTGCCGCACGGGGATCCACGGTGGGAGGACAGCTTTGAGAGTGGAGAGGATTCCCAGCCAGTCCCGCCTGAATGACAGGGCTGCTCCCGCAAATCCAACACACACTCCCAGGATTGTTTCCAGTGGGGACTGAGCTGCCATGGCCAGCCATGGTGCCAGTGGAAGTTTGCTGCAGGGCACAGGTGGCTGACAGCTCAGTTCATCTCCAGCTGTGTCCCTTTCTCAATTGTACAACTGGGGTGACAGTACCATGGCTGAACACCACATGGAGAGACATGGGCCCTGTGGAAGGCCCTCAAGGGCCTGGGGAGAGATATCTCAGTCACTCTGCTCTCCTGACCTCGGAAAACAGCGTCTGAACAAAGAAATGGACAAGGAGACCCGGAGACTGGGCTTGTGCTATGTGCTCTCAGAGGCCTCCCAAGAAGCCAGATGAGGTGTGATTACATGGTAGGGTGAATACCCTAGTCCCCGAAATCGCAGGGGTCCCCCAAGTGCTGAGTCCGCCAAAGTCACCTTGGAAGGCCAGTTGCTATGGGGCTGCCTTTACTCAAACTGAATTTGTTTCTTGGAAGTTGCTTTTGGAACCAGCAGCATTTATCTCTTTGAGGATTCTCAATGGTGACAACAGTTCTGCATTTGAGTGTGAAGTTCACTTTTAGATACATTTTTAGTGCTTTCTCTAGCAGGAGACACGCACTCCTTAACGAGCTCAACATTTCACTCTTTCTAAAATGCTTCAAAATAGTTGATTTCGTTGATCCTCATAGTCTGTTTTGAGGGGTCGAGAAAAGTACTCTCATAAAGGTGCCTACAGTACCCCCTAAACTGAGCCCCAAATCTCTGAGCAACTACTGGATGTTGGTGTTGGCTGGAGTTTACAAAAGAGGAAAGCTGAGCACAGGAGATGAGTCTGACTCCAAGTCCAGGTGGGTGACTATTCTGGGGACTGGTGTCGTGTTTGTGGACATTTTCAGGCACCACCCTCGGGTAATGAGATGGGTGCAGTCTGCCTCTGTGGGCAATTTCCAAGGCTGAGGTCAGATGCACCTTCTCCCAGTCAACTGGCTGTTCTCAGTCTGGACCCTCCTGACAGCCTGGGGCATGCTGGGCCCCGGGGGGTGCAACAGAGAACACCACAGATGGGGGCAGGGTGGGGAGGGCAGATGTAGGACAAGTATTTTCAACCATGTCATGAGGTAGAAACCAGCTTAGTGGGCCAGGGACACAAATCCCAAGGTGGAAAGTGAACCCCAGTCCTACTACTCATGACTGTGACCTCAAGCATGTTCCCTAGGACCTCTGATCCCTGGTTTCCTTACCTGTAAAATGAGAACAGCAATGCCTGCCTCCAGTGAGACTTAAATGAGCTAATGCACACTGAGTGCCAAGTGCAACGGCTGGTGTGTAGTAAGGACTTGAGAAACAGCAGTGGTAATCTTTATCAATTTGAACATCGACAGCCTCACTGAAACAGTGACCTCCCAAGGTGACTATTTTGCAGGCACTGCTGACAGGGAGGTATGATCCCATGGGGTTCCTTACCTTACTCTCACACCTTAATCCTGCTTCTTGCGGCCTCTGGCTGTCCCAGCTAAACCTCCTAAACAAGGGAGAGGAGCCAGGTGTGGCCAGGTTGGGGGGATCCCTGCAGGACTCCTGGCAACACCCTAGCCCCTACGTGACAGCAGGACAGATCACCTGCCTGATGTTGCCCAGCTCTTCTTACCCAATGATACCAGCTTGTCTTTGAGGGCCCCAGGGAGGAAAAGCTCATAAACTGGGTTGCTACGCATTGACACAACAGCAACACCAAAGGGAGAAAACAGCAGCAGGAAGCTTAGTCTTGAGTAAGCCCAGCAGGTGACCTATATAGGCATCGAGGCTCTGAGCCTCATTGTGCAAACACACCCACTTTGAGGTCCCAGACACGAAGGCTCAGGTCCCCGCACAGCCTTGAGCTCTGGGCGTGGACCTTCAACTTCATCAGAGGATGAGAAGGCACCAAAAGGAACCCAGCCCACCAGGAGCTGTCAGCATAGGTAATCTGGCGGCCGCCTCCTCTTTAGTAGGGTTCGAAATGGGAGGAACCTTAGACCGGGGGGTCCAGACACCTCTCTCTCTCTGTCTCTAATCCTCAGAGTGGTCTGGGCCAGTTGCTCCCCCTCTTAGGGCCTTAACTCTAACACAATGGATTTGGACGAGTTGGCCTCTGAAGTCTCTGCCAGTTGTTACACGTGACTTACAGGAAGGGGCTCCCTAAGTCGCAAAGTGCTTATAATAAGTCATCTGGTGCCTTAAACATTTCACAGATTGGTTGGGGAAGGTGGAGGACCACAGGTATGGTTGGTCTGCAGATATAAATGTGGCAATTCTTCTTCGTGTACCTCTGTCTGTGTTCCTGGTGGGGCAATACCTTCTCCTTTGTAGCAGATCCATCTTCAGGCCGAGGCAGAAGGGCCTGTGGGGACTGCTTAGTCAGCCGGGCTCAGAGGCTCGCAGGTGGCTACTCAGCACTTCGTGCCCCAAGTGCCATTTAGGGCACATCACCCTCACCCTCTACGGGCCACTTACACCCTCCCTTCAGCAGCGCCCGTAGCCTGAGCCAGTCAGAAACCTCCTTCTTTCATCCAGCCCTGGCATTGTGGAAACCTGGAACCTCTCGACAATTTAAACTAGTCATAACTTGAAACCACACCAGCCGTGGGATGTCCTTGTCGCCCGGCAGAGACCCAAGTGTCACTCTTTGACTCTTACAGCACCTTTAGAAACAAGGAGGAATAATGTGGTGAAGCGTTCTAAACATCCCTAAATCATAACCTCGGTTTTTGCTTATGAACTTATTCTAACCCTTTTCAGCTCAGTTTTTGTTATTTCTTTAAAAATTATGTTTGTTCTTTAAGTTTCACCAGACCTTTGATCAAAGAAAGAAATCTAACTCAATGAACATAAGCAAACAGTCAAGCCACGTGGTCACTTTGTGCAGGTGCTAAGCAGCTTTCTCTACGGATTCTCAGGTGTTTGGAACTGACTGGAAAAGCACCAGCAGCCGGCTGGTTTGCACCTTGGGTTGCGGGACGCTCTCCTGCGCTCAGGTGGCCACCACATCCCTGAGCTGCTTCTGTCTTTTCCCACCACACAGGTTCCAGCCAGGAAAGACAAGTGTTCCAAAAGGCTATCGGGCAACTTAAACCCAGGGCATCATTTGGCGCCACATCTGCAGGGGGTTCGGAAGCAGAGGATCAGGAGCCCAGCATCTCTGGGAAGTTCAAGGTCGCTGGCATTCTGGCAGTGGGCAAAGAAGTCAGCCTAGTCCTGCTGCTCAAAAACCTGACCAGTGAAGAGAAGACGGTGACAGTGAACATGACAGCCTGGACCATAGTCTACAACGGCACGCTTGTGCATGAGGTGTGGGAGGACTCGGTCACAATGTCTCTGGGCCCCGAAGAAGGTAACTCATCCTGTAGCTTGGTGGGGATGCACGAATCCAAGGTAGTTGATAGTCTGTTGGGGCTGGAGGGTTTCTGCTGGGCTTCGGGTTAGTCAGCCAGCTGAGGATGGGGCAATGAGTGGCCCCAGGGTCAAGCCTTGGGCTCCGATGCTTTGGAAGTTGCTGTCTCTATGAACAGCCCAATGCGGGGTGGTGCCAACTAAAATCCTTTTATGCCCTGGGGGAGAAAGGAGGGAGGCTTTGGCAGGTCATCGTCATGGCATGATATTCCTTACAGGTGTATACCACCTTGCAGGGTTTGCAGAGCATGTCCTTATATACTACCTCATTTGGCCTTCTAAGAAAAGAATAGATTTTAGTTTCCATTTTATAGAGACAGAAAACTGAGGCTTAGAGAGATTTGTGACTTGCTTAAGAGATTAAGTATCCTTGCTAGTAAGTGGCAATGCCGGTCTTGGTCCTAGGCTTCCTCATGCTAATCCAGCGCCACCCCCTATGTTTCTATGTTGTATTGCTGCCACCCCCTCCCCCCCACCCTCACCCCACAACAAGTCACTTCTCAGGTCTGGCCCTGGAAGGCGGGTGGCAATAACCGCAGGGCCCTGAACCCTTGCCCCGGGTCCCCCACAGCTGCTGGGGGTGGGTGGAGTTAGAGGTCTGAGCATTTGGGAGGAACAGTGACTCCTTGCCCCTGGGTAGCAGGGATGGGACGGGAACAAGGTGGAGCAGAGAAAGGTTGGTGCCATGCAGGGATTAGGAGGCAGGTGTGCCTACATTGACAAAATCCTTCTAGCTGTTATGAAAAGTTTGGATTTACAGAGCAGATTAACAAGGGTGGGGTGACTATTTGCTTCACATAAGGACCTAATAGCAACTGATTAATTATACAGCCCATCTTGAAAGAATCTGTCTGCAGAGTAGCTGACAGGTGTCACACCTGTCAGAAGGCAGCATTCCCATGGCAATCTGTCTTCTGGCAGAATTTTAGCAGAAATCTTCTCAAAGTCAGAAACAATTGCCTGCTCTGATTTATCTTTGAAGCTCAAAAAAAAAAAAAAGAAAAGAAAAAGCTATTTTTGAGGGTGAAAAAATTTCACGAGAGGGAAATAGTTAAAAAAAGAAAAAACATCCTTTTGCAAGAGACAACAGAGTGGACCGGGAAGGAGGTGGGGATGGAGGCAGAGGAAGTGTCCTAGAGTGCTGTGGCCAGTGCAAATACTTGCTGGGTGACCCTGGCTAAGTCTCCCTCCCTTTCTGAGCCTCAGTGGTCCTTGAGCCCGAGCATTGGCCAGCTGATGCAAGGGCCTGACCTGTCCACCTTCGGGGCAGTCATGGCCAGTTCCTCCAGTGCTAAAAGCAGAGGCGGCTTCCTCCTCACGGTTTTACCTAAAAGAGCATGTGACACCGTTGGCACCCCGGGCCACCCAGCATGACAGCCTGAGGGAGGGCAGCACCCAGGACCATGTTTTGCCCAAGGAATGGCAAGAGGCACCCAGGGTTCCCTGAAGGGAGAGGTGGGGTGGGCTCAGATGGTGCAGGGCCAGGTGAAGGATCCAAACGTCATCCCTAAGGCATCGAGGAGCCGTGAGTGATTTTTGAAGTGACATGATTCAGAAAAAAACAAACCTAGTCTTCTAAAGCTTTCTCTGGATGGCATGTGGATGGTTCAGAAGCAGGAGAGACCCGAGGGGGAATGTGGTTCCGGATGCTGTTGCAATAGAAGTGCAGGTTATTAGACAGCCGGGAAGACCCGAGGCATTTATTTAGCCGATACCCCAGCTTCCCTTCCTGCCTATTCTTGTGTTATCACTGAAATTCTGTTGTCACTAAACAATCAGGTAGCATTTGTGTTCTTCCCCTGCCCCTTAGAAGGACATTTGCCCGCTGACATTGTCCAGGGTGGGGAGGAAGCAAGCCATCCTCCTCGGCATCTGCCCAGCCAGCCAGTGTCCTGGTCTCCCCGCCATTTGCCCAGGCTTGGTGTCAGTTCTGAAGAAGGTTCTGAAGCCATCCCCACTCCCTCTCACTCCGCTCCCTCGCTCCCCCTTCCAGAAGCGCAGCATCCCGTGAAGATCTCCTACGCTCAGTATGAGAACTACCTGAAGGCGGACAACATGATCCGGATCACAGCCGTGTGCAAGGTCCCCGGCGAGGCGGAGGTGGTGGTGGAGCGGGACGTCATCCTGGACAACCCCACCCTGACCCTGGAGGTAACGGGATGGGAAGGGGGCCCCCCCCCAGCCAGCCCAGCCCCCCGTGAGCCTCTGCCTTCCCAAACCACAAAGGAAGGGCTTTTCCTGCTGGGAGGGGCAGAGAACTGGGCCCAGCTCGGCTCCAGTGTCTGCCAAATGGACCTGCCAAGAACCCCCGCTCAGGCCAGGGTTCTTGCCCCCCATCTGGAGAGATAATTGGGCACATTTGCCTGGGAGCTTCTTTGGTCCTAGTTCCAGACCCTCTGGGGATGTCAGCTGAGGAGGGGCTGCAGGGAGCTCATTCACCCACCTACTCAGCTACTGAGCGTCTGCCGTGTGTGGGCCCTGCCGGGCTCGGGAGTCACAGAGAGGCACAGGTGTGGGTGCTGCCCACGGCAAGCTGACGTGTCCTTCCAGGGTCACAGCGCAGCCCCTGTTCATGGGCCAGATCAGAAACGGGCTGACCCACATGCATCTCTGTCACCCTAGAGTTACAGATTTGTGAACTCTTAGGAGGCTAGTCCCCTGCCCTGTACCCTGTCATTTCACACGTGAGTAAATTGAGGCCGAGAGAGAAGGGGACAGCAAGTTACTGCCAGAGCCAGGGTTAGCCTGGGACTCCCAATCCATGCCCTTTCCAAGGTGTCCTGGTACCTCAGCAGCCAGCAACAGCATCTCCAAACTGGTTGAGAACAAGGACTCCTCTATTTCTGCTTTTAGGGCTCATTTTTGTTTGCAGGCTTCATTCCCAAGCATGTGGGGCTTGCAGGTCTGTGGGAGGCCCCTGGTGCAACTCTGTCCCTTTCTCGGCACCCAGCAGGAACACCTGTGCTCACCTTCCAGTCCCTGAACCCAAACCCCTGAGCCCAGGGTGAATGGCACTGAGCCAGGCAGCACAGATCTGAGGACCAAGAGGCTGGACAAGGACAGGCAGACAGATGGGTAGAGAAGATGGGTCTTCCCCTGGGCTCCAACCTCATGCATCAGGCCCCTCTCTTGTCTGCTGTATCCACTGTCTGCCCCAGCCGTCTCGACAGCCGTTTCGGTCCAATCACAATGCCACCAGCTTCCCAAGCCCCAGATCACTAGAGGAGCCGGAAGAGTCATGGCTGCCCTGCCCTGGCCCCACCTGCCCCTAAGCTGCAGCCTAGCTGCAGGGGTTCCAGACCTCGGACAGAGAGCAGGGGGTCCCAGGCGTCAGCTCTGATGTAGGATCCAGTTCTCCATTCAGCTGCCTACGATATCACCCTGTCATTGTCCTAGTTAGTCTGGACTGTCCTTCAGAGTGGGAGAGCTGGTCCCTGACCTTAGAGGTCAGGGAGCCAGTTTGGAGGCAGCAGATAGAGGCAGGAGATCAGACCTTGGTCCACGTAACCAAATGGGCCTGGTGTTGTACCTGAGCCCTTCCGTGTATCTGCAGTGACACTGGGCAGGTCCCTTAATCTGAGCCTCAGTTGCTCCAGCTCTGTCACAGGGACAGTAAAGTATTTCCCTTGCACACATCCTCAGGGACACCTTTCCTGACCCCCCAACCCCCACTGTAAGGCCTGGTCCCAGTTATACACCCTCAACCTTCTGTCCTCTTCCTTTACGGCATTTGTCCCAGCTGAAAGAATGTCTTTCTTTGTGCAATGAAATGGTTGTGGTTCCTACCCGGCTGTAAACTCCACAGCAGGTGCTACCTCTGTTCTGGGTTCATCACTGTCTCCCCGGCACAATATCTTAGTAGATAATCAATATTTGTAAAAGCCCCCTCCTCAGGGCAAGATTGGAACAGAGCTTCTTGGCTCTGGGCTTGCATTCTTCCCTGCCCAGGGGAGAGCTGTCAGTCCACGCTTGTCCCCTGTGTGGAAAGCCTCTCCTGCTTCACGAGGCACTTGCAAGAAACACTCCCCATCTCTGCTAACACGACGGCCAGCGAGTGCCCATCCCAACTCCCGAAGCCAGAAAATGACTCTGGATAGCAGCCAGTTCAGTTATGAAAACATTCTGCACGAAAGTGATCAGTGTTTAAATGAAGTTAGTTGTCTCCCTATTATATTCCCTTTTCCAATATCCTCAGACATTCTTACAGTTATCTTTTATTCAGCACTTTGGCTTGGCATCTTTTGGATTTCCATAGCAAGTCTAATTTATCTTTAAAGACACTATAATATGTTTAGAAAGGAAATCAGAATACATACAGACTAGAAATGTGCCATCGTGAACTCTCTTATTTAATCTTTTAAAAAGACTCTTCCTTCTCCCCTCTACTTAAGCCTGCCCAGAACCAAGGCATTCTTGCCCTGATTGAATGAATCAGTGCATAGCTCGCTCAGAGCAGGGAACAGGGTTTTAAACTTGGGAAGGTGATCTGCATGAAAAGATAATCACTTGCGCAAAACCCCATCATCTCATCTGGCACTGATTGGCAGTTAGCATGGAGGACCTTAGACCATAGAATCAGATCATAAAATCTGAACGTTGTTCCAAAGGGGGATGTCTTTCAAATTAACCCGTGACCTGTGGCTGTCAAACACAGGTTTTTAGTGGCCCCCATCCTCTCCTGTGGGTGCATTTACAGACAGGAGAGGGTGCTGAGCAGAAATGAAGAAAGAAAAACAAATTCAAAGCAATTTCAAATATCAATGTGGAAAAGATGGCCCCGTTTCTGTTGCTTTGTTAGATCCCAGTAGCAGAAAATTATGCTTCACTCTTCAAATTATGCCTCACACGTAAATGAGTTCTAACGGACAAATTAATAGCACAGATCATGGTCTCCAAAATGCTCCAATTATTCACAAATTATTTGTAGGTGTTGCAGAGACTATCGAAAAAAGTGAAAGCTTTGGAACCAGCTGGGCCCTGCTGTTTCCTAGTGTGCGAAGTTTCCAAGTTGTTGAATCTGTCTGAACATCGGCTTTGTCCCCGTAAAATGGTTGCTCTGAGGATTAGTGGCAAGAGAAACAAAAACTGACCTCACACCAAACAGCAGCCTCCAGGGATCCTCAAATGAAGAAAAGAAATTCATTAGCCAAATAGCAATTTCGATTTCTATCTCCCATACGCATTCTTCCCTGCCCTGTGCGATCTCGTTTGGTCCCTTCTAGGAGGGGAGGGTGCCTGTTCCTCTTTATCACATGAGGAAGCTGAGGCCCAGAGAGGTGGCTCCTCTGCCCAGAGTTGCGGCTGCTTCTTGGCAAAGCGCAAGCAGCTTCCGTCTTTTTGTCTGAGGACACAGTCCTGGTTGCTTTTTTGACCCCAAACCCAGGCTTCACCTTCTCTGACCCCTGATCAAGGACAGAGTGGCTACGGTGTGAGAGCTGGGGCGGGGGGCGCTAGGGAGTGGCCTCCCACGGGAGAGGTTTGAGGCTTTAAGGGAAGAAACAGGACCTGTGAGCAGGAAGTTTGAGGGAAGTGATGTTGTTAAACTAACACAAAAGTGTTCCTAGCCCTCGCAGAGCCTACGATAGAACTGGACTGTCCTGGGACGCAAGGGCTCCCCTTCCCTGGATGAGCCCGAGTCGGGCAGGGAAGTCATAGTGCTCTCGGCCACTGCACTGTACCCCTTCTCCCTCCGAGCCTGGTCCCCCGTCCCCAGCATGGGATGATAGTGATGTCCTAGGAACCCCCTGCGTGGACATCAGGAGGCTGCCTGACACAATGCGCCTGGCACCTACAGGACTAAATACATGGCCCTCCCTTCCTCCGTCCTCAGTGACAGCCTCCCCTTCACCAGGCACCCTGCCCAGCCTCACCGAGTGGCAGGCAGGGGCTGAGCAGCAGGGTCCTGACTCGGCACCCCTCTCGCGGCAGGTGCTGGACGAGGCTCACGTGCGGACGCCCATGAACGTGCAGATGCTCTTCTCCAACCCCTTGGACGAGCCCGTGAGGAACTGCGTGCTGATGGTGGAGGGCAGCGGCCTGCTGCGGGGCAGCCTCAAGATCGAGTGAGTCCCAGGCCTCAGTGGCTGCATAGGGACCATGGTAGGGGGTGGTGGGGGCCTGAGGACCCCTGGGCAAGGCAGACAGAGCTCCCTTTGGCCTTGGATTCTCTACTGTTTTGGGGGGTCTTGGAACTCGAGAATCTGCCTTTGCATTTGGTTTACCAAACTTGAACTCCTGGGAAGTCCAGGTCACCAGAGCTAAGAGCTGGCCCTCAGGGCTTAGAATATTTGGGAGATCATGGGCCCCCCCCTCCCCATTCCCCTGCTGAAGTGTCCCAGGGCTGCAGGGTCCCAGTGACCCAGGGAGGTAGCTAGAAAGAGCTAAAGCAGCCCAGCCCCGACCAAAGCAGGACAGGGGGCCACGGAGGCCCATCTGGTCCAAGGTCTGTGCATCTCGCATCAACACTGACCCATGCCCTCCCCATCAGCGTGCCGACCCTGCGCCCCAAGGAGCGGTCCCGGGTCCGTTTTGAGATCCTGCCCACCCGGAGTGGCACCAAGCAGCTGCTCGCCGACTTCTCCTGCAACAAGTTCCCTGCCATCAAGGCCATGCTGTCCATCGACGTGGCTGAGTGAAGGGCCCCAGGGGCCCCCCGTACAAACTTGGGTAACACAGAGCAGGGAGGGCTCACCTGTGGAGTGAGACCCCTGCCCATGCTGTCCAGCCTGGGAAACCCACTCTGTCCCCCAAGGCTGCCGGATGTGGACCTCCAGTCTCCAGCACACGCCCCCTCCCCTCCCCCTAGGTTGGCGCCGGGTCAACCCTGGCCCATGACTTGGTCACTTTTGCACATTCCCTGGCTGCTTCTCCCAAGGGCCTGCTCTGGGAGCCCCGTGGCCCTGCTCATCCCTAGTGCCCTTCAACGCTACAGGACAGACCAGCCCGGACTCAGGGACTCTCCGGATGGATACGGGGCAGAAGCTGGCCTGGACCGTTTGCTGATCCCCAGCCTGCAGTTGGGGCATTCCAGGGGGTGCTTAGTCACCTGCCACAGCATCCACACCCTTACACGCAAAATAAATATTAAACAAGTGCAGCCACGTGGCACCGACTCTGCCAGACTGCTGTTTCCCCTAAGGTGGTGAAGGAGAGAGGGGAGCTGGGGTCATCCCTTCCGGAGAAGGGATGAACTTGTGGGGGCCTTGTTCCCTGTGTTCCAGTGTCCAAGGGGAGTGGGCTTGTTCCACATGGCTCCAGGTGCAAAAATAGGAAGACATTTCAAGTCAATTTAGGAAAACTTTCTAGTACGATGTCCAAAAATAGATGAGGCCGCCTTGGGAGACAGCTCCTTGTCACGGTAGGCTTCAGTCATTCTCTGTGTGGCCAGGCAAACTCTTTTAGGGCTGTTCTACATGATTCAGTGTAAGAAGTGACTTCAGAGTCTTTGCTGGAACCCTCTGGCAGAGCAGGCTGCTGGTGGTGGCCACAGCACTGTTAACTCAACCAGAACCTTCTCTGCCTTCATACACACTCTGATGGTTCTTCTGCTTTTGTCCCTTAAAATAACCCGAAGCAGATCCCATCAGCTTTCCTATCACCTGTGTGTCTGATCCCATTTTGACAACTCTACCTCACTCTCCGAATTTAAGGGACCCACCCAGTCTAGATAGAAACCTTAACCTCACATCCAGCTCAGAGCTACTCCCCTGTGCTCAGCTGAGGCTTTGCCCATGCCGTCAAAGCTGGCACTGTTCATTTCTCCTCCACCTTCCCTTCCTCCCTTCCCGTTGCCCGATCCTTCAAAGTCAGAGCAGGGAGAGAGAGAATTAGAAGAAAACTGACAATTGTGTGTTTCCCTGGTGCTGATGTAACATGGCCAACAGCATCCTCTGTGTTGCTGGCGTTGAAATGCCGGCTTTCTGTACTGCATGTTGCCTGACACAGGCAACGGGGCCCTCAGCTTGGGCCCCTGGAGGTCCACTCCACTACCTCTAGCTGCCCTGGAGGGAGTGGCGTTTTCATGATGGCCCAGTTCCCTTTCGTGAGGTCCACTAGCCACAGGAAGTTCATACCTTGCCCCACCCAACAGCAGGCTTTAGTTATTAGTCTTATTAAGTGCCACCCTTACACATTTGAAGATAGAATGCAACTCAGTATAAATTAGTCACTGCCTCTGGAGAATGCTTATGATGTGCCAGGCTCTGCACCAAGTGCTTTATATGCAATGTCTCATTTAATCCTCCCAACACTCGTATGGGATAGATGCTAATATGCCCCATGTTACCATGGAGGAAGCTAAGGCTCAGAGACATTGAGTCATTTGTTCAAGATCACAGAGCCACGAAGTAGAGAAATTAGGGTTCAAACCCTCTATCTACTTTCAGAGCCAAAGCCACTATGCTAATGTGCTGGACACTTTTGGTGGCCCACAGTCATCTCTCCTTCTTTCTTACTAATTGGACCCTGGTTTTTTGTCTGGGGTCCAAAACCAATGTGATCAGCCTCAGAAGATAAATTCTGATTGGTCTCACTCCATCATGACAATCTTCTTCCCTTTTGCCAGTGGTTGCTTTGGAAGTGGACACATGACCTCATCTGGCCAATGGGACATAAGGGAAGTTTTATGACAGGCTTTTGGGAAAGATTTCCCCTCCGAATAGAAAAAAGAAATTTGGTCCAGCCTGGGAAATAGTGAGACCCCATCTCTACAAAAAATAAAAAATTAGCTGGGTGTGGTGGCACACACCTGTAGTCCCAGCTACAGAAGACTGAGGCAAGAAGATCACTCGAGCCCAGGAGTTTGAAGCTGCAGTGAGCTATGATGACATCACTGCACTCTAGTCCAGGCAACAGAGAAAGACTTTGTCTCAAAAAAATACAAAATTAAAAAAAAAAAAATGTAAGCCCTGCCCTTTTTCCTTTGAATAGAATCCTAAAAGGACGATGTCTGGAGCTGTGGCGATCATTCTGTGAGCATAAGAGGAAGACAAAAAGAATAGAAAAAAATGACTCAGAGCTCTGACATTGATGAGACATTGAATTAACCAACCCTAAGACCACCAAATTCCAGACCTGCTATTAAGCGACATAATACATATTCTTATTGTTTAAGTCACTTTTGGCTGGGCGTATTGTACTTACAGCTCTCTGGTTTAGCTGTATTGCTGTTACTGAGACGTACAGAGATGAAGGAATCACAGACCCCTCGCCAAGGAGCGCCATGTTCAGAGAAGGAGCAGGCCCATTACTGAACTCCTGTTCCATCTGCCTCCATTCAAAGCCTGGCTCCATCACTTCCTAGGTTTATGAGCTTGGTCATACTATTTAACCTCTCTTTCCTTGGTTTTTCTGTTTTGTAAAATAAGAGTAATAATAGAACCTATCTCATAAAAATTTAATACATCTGGTGTATAATAGAGGCACAATAAACATCATTGGTGGCAGAGTGTTTGCAAAGATGGCCACAATAATTTCTCCCATCCCAGTAAGCACAGCCCTTTTATTGAGACCACCATTCCTTCCCATCAAGAGGTAGAGTCTGTTTCTTACTTTTCAGATCAGAGCTGGCCCCTTGACCTGCTTTGGTCAATAGAACATGGTACAAGAGAGGTTGTGTGAATTCCAAAGCCTAAGCCTCAAGAGGCCTTGTGTGCTTCTGTTCTCACCCTCTTGGAACACTGCCCCCATATTGCTATGTGAAGAAGCCTGGTCTATTCTTGTGTTAGCCATGGATGGGTGTCACTTATTTGTCCCCTCATGAAAGAACTTGTTTAGCTGCAATTAGCTGATGGCTTCCAGCTGTTAGCACCTTTGGGCTCCATCTTAGCTCTGAGGCTAGGCCACGCTCTTCCTGGGCAACCCCAGGCAATTACTGAGCCAGTAGGGGAACCAGGGCCTGGTGATTTCTGCCCAACATTGGGTTCCTCTAGTGGGCAAATTTTGCTCTGGAGCTCCCTGTTGGGTTGGCTGAGACTTTGTCAGCTCTGCGTTGCAGTCCGAGGCTCTCCTTAGCCCAACTTGCTTTCTCCCCGTTTTTATCTCTCAAAGGCATTATCCCCCAATAAACCTCTTAAACCCCTAACTACATCTCGGTCTCTATTTCCTGGAGGATTCAACTGACAGTTGGTTCCGGCACGGGTGTAAGAAAGTAGCCAGTAATTTAGGGCTTTTGGATTGAATCGCTCACCACCCAGCTGCCAGTGAGAACCCCATCTTCATCCCGTATCATCCCAGATGACATGAAATGGGTACATGGGGTGGATGCCCTCAAAGATTTTGGATCCGAGACTCCTCTGGACCCTCAGAGCTTACAGAGGTGGCTGACTCCCTTCCTATTAAGATCTGGTAACCACCCCCTCCCCGCTGCGGGAAGACACTGAAGAAGGCTTTCCCCTGCAAGGCAACAGGAGCCCTACTCAGGATCTGTTTCTGCCTCTTCTCTTGGCTTCCAGGCTGATAAACAATGTTAACTTGTAGCATAACTCAGCCGGGGATGTGTCATATCCGATAAGGGAGTAAGGGGAATGTAGTCCGAAGGAGCTGAAAAATAATAGCCATCATGTGACGGTAGGATCAGGGAAGTATTCTGGGAGTGGATTTGAGGGTATTTAATCAAGAGAGCTGGAACTTTAGTCTGAACAAGAAAGAATTTATTGACTTGAAGCCATTCTTTTGTGATACGGGATTTAATACCCTGGCGAGCACCGTGGGAGCTGGTGCAAACTTATGTCTTAGTGGTTCCAAACATCTGGAAAAAGTCATGGCTTATTCTAAGTATAGTTGAAACGGATGAATTGTCATGGTGCGTGGGGCCAGGAGACAACCCACCCAAAGGCTTATGTTCCAACAGAGGTCCCAGAGGACACACCCACCACTCATCAAGGCCATCAGGAATGAGCTGGTGACAGAGACATCAACATTACTAAGAAATTTAGTGGTGGTGTCCTCTACATTTAAAGCAAAAATAATAGCAACACTGTAGAAGTAAAATGTATGAAAATAATAGCACAGTGGCCAGGAAGGAGAAAATTAAAATATATTAATGTAAATTTCTTATGTAACATAGAAGTGACGAAATATTATTTGGAGAGAGACTGTAAGTTAAAGACATATACTATAAACCTAAAGCAACCATTAAAACAAAACAAAACAAAAAAACCCAGAGTTATGATTAATAAACCAACAAGGTAAACACAATGTAATAGTAAAGAATAATCAGTTAATAGAAAAAAGGCAGAAAAAGAGGGAAAATGGGGTAAAGAAAAAATGAGACAGAGAAAAAATAAGTAGCAATCTAGTAGATTTAAACTCAACCATATTAATAATTACATTAAATGCATATGGCCTAAATACCCAATTAAAAGGCAACTATTGTCAAATTGGAAAAAGCAAGACCTAACTATATGCTGCTACAAAAAATGAACTTCAAGTATAGAGGTAAAATGGGTTAAATCTAAAAGGATGGAAAATGATATACTATACAAATAGTAACCAAAAAAAGCTGGAGCGGCTACATAAATATCAAACAAAATACACAAAAGTTGTCACTAGAGAAAAAGAGGAATATTTTAGAATGATAAAAAGATCAATCCATCAATAGGAATAAAAATTATAAACAGTCTTAATGTTTTTTGGCCACAATGAATTAAATTAGAAGACAATAACATAAATAAGTGTGGAAAGTCACCAAATATTTATAAACTAAAGACAAGCCTTCTTCATAACCCATGGGTCAAAGAAGAAATTTTAAAAGGCATTATAAAGCATTTTAAACTAAAAACACAGCATAACAAAATGTGTAGGATACAGCTAATGCAATAGTTAAAGGGAAATTTACAGCATTAAAATTTCTAAATTAGAAACAAAGAAAGAAATCCATCAACTCAGCTTCCACCTTAGAAAACTGACAAAAGAAAAAGA